TTTCGTGATCAACAAGAAAGACCAGAAACGATAGATGGAATCGAAGCAATTGTATAATAACGATTATTGACACAGTTTATTTTCCGTCACAGACATATATATACACATTATTTAAGACGTTAGTCATTTCCGAGATATTTACATTTAATCTTGCTCAAACGGAAATACGATCCTTTTTATATTGAGTGACGATAAGGAAAAAAAAGCGAAAACAACTTGACTTGAACTTTGACAACTTAACCAAAAAAATATAATAGTAACTAGCATTTGATCAGGTATTTATTAGATTTTTATCTTGTGTGAAATCAAATCTCTATTTATATGTTAAAATTTCCTTATATAAATATATATATGTATCTCATATTATACCAAAAGTGACACAAAAATAAAACAAGAGAGGCAACAAACAATGTACTCATAGTTGTTTTTGTTATTATATCATTGAATGCGACAGAGTGCAACAATTGCATTAAGTTCCTCTTCTATTATTACTATCGATTCGAGAAATCCACTACCATCATCCTATGCATAGAGATATTCACTATAGAAAATAATATGATTTGAGATATATATGTATATATATATAAATATATATCTATAAATGATGATGAAATGTTTTCTAAGTCTGCTCAGTCAGCAGAAAAGAATGCCTTGAGACAAAGAGCACGCATAAAAAAAAAGAAAAGAAGTGGCAACTAGCAAACGGCACTTGATTATCTATTGCTTATTGCTTAAAATGAAGCTAGGCGTGTTCAATCATCTTTTCCTTCTTGTTCTCCTTCGTCGTCCTCTTCTTGTTGTTTCGCAAATTATTGGAATATTGAAACGCTTCTCTGGTTCTTCTTTATTCTCGTCTGGCACAACTCGATCGACAAATACCACACCGCATATATTGTGTGGGTCTTTCTTTCTCTCTCTCTCTATATATATATATATATTGCTCTCATACTATTCTTTTCTCTCTATCTTCGTTATGCGCTCGATTAGAGAATAGGAAGCAATCCTTTCGGAGAAGAACATGCAGACTCAATTACGATCTACTTTTGATAACATACGAATATATTTATACATTAAGAAAACGAATAAATATTGAATACCTGTCTGTGATTGAAATAGATAACTACAGGTACGAGTTAAGTTTAATTTTATTGTTTTCTATTTTGTTAGTTAAACTTAATTACGATGTTTATTTTTATCAGACGACAAAAAGGGAAATTAATGATTGACACTATACAGCAATAATCCACTTGAGGCAATTTTTTGCATGTGTTTTCCTGATGATTGTATTGATAGCTCAACTCATACTGTGATCAAAGGCACCATGGCATTCGATTTTGCTTGATAGTGTGTTATTGTTATTATCGATAGAGATCTATATCAACAGTGTTAACCTTTTCTATTTTGAAGATATTTGGTCATTAGCCATATTGATTTAGTTATGCGTCATAAATGAATAAATAAATAAATATATTTAAATTTGACTATATTTTAGATATATATATATATACATATACATAGTTAAATCAAAAATGATTAAAGAACAAGAACGATTAAGTTGACAAACGCTATGACGAATGCTGTCAAATGTTTAATGATCTTTTATACATTTTATTGTTGTTTTCATTATTATTATCAATTCAATTGGAGACAAAAATCTAATGTCCATTGCCATCAATTCGACAACACAAGAGCTTTTCCTTAATTTAACTAGTACAACAATCCGTACAATAATTCAGTCAAATACAAATCATACTATTAATAATATTTCATCATTAGATATTAAACAAAATATTGATTTAAGTCATTTAGCATTGGGCATTTTTTTAACTTTTTTTTGTTTTATTACCGTTTTTGGTAATGGTCTTGTTATATATGCTGTTGTTCAAGAACGTTATTTAAAATCAGGTATATTATCATTTACAATTAAAATAGCATTCTTTTTTACATCGAAATTACTTATATCAATAGTTTCTATATATAAATAAATGTTAAAGAATCTTTTGTCAAAAAAAGAAATTCGTGTATACGCTCTATTTAACAAGTAAAGAAATACTTTCTTTTTATTTTTACCTGCATGACTGAATAGTCGAATAAATTAAGCATTCAGTTCATTTCCAGATAAATATTGATTATCAATCTAGATTTTTATATTTTTAATAACTTTGATCAATAATAAACTCATGAAATATTTATTAATCGTCATAGTCTAATTATCAAAAATGAACAACTGACTTCTTGTTCTTCTCTTTTTTTTTCTTTTGTTTTCATTTAAATATAATGACCCAACTAAGGATAAGCTATACCGACCTCGACCTTGCTACTGATTATCTTCATTGTATGAACGGAAGAAAGAAAAACTTAATAATTACTATCATTGACATTCGGTTTCAAGGATTTTTCTCAAAATCATAGTGCATTGCCCTATCACCCTCGATCCCCTGGTAACACCACTATTTAAATAATTCATCCGTATTAATTCTATGATATGAAGTATAAACTATTATTTATAAATTTGAATCTAAATTCAAGTTCTTACTCATTTAATCTTCGTAATCAATTATCATTGATTTCTTTTTCTCTCTTTTTAGCTACGTATTATTATATGGCATCATTAGCATGTGCCGATTTATTTGTCGGTTTAATTGTTATGCCATTTTCTATTGTACAAGTTATATATGGTGACTATTGGCCATTTGGCAAGGCATGTTGTGATCTTTGGCATTCAATAGATGTATGTGCAAGTACAGCATCAATACTTGATTTATGTGTTATTGCATTGGATCGTTATTCAGCAATAACAAATCCAATATCGTATCATCAAACATTTTTTGTTAAACGATGGCCTTATTTACTTGTTGCTGTTTGGTTATGTTCAGGTAAATAAAAATCTTATCGGAATAAATATTAAATCAAATTTTCTTTTTTTATTTTTTCCTATTAATTATATTTATTTATGTGTTTTTTTTTTTTTGTAGGTCTAATCTCATTTCCTGCTATTGCTTATTGGCGTCTTGTTGTACGTCAATATGAAGTATATCGTTGTCTTTTTCCTGATGATATATATTATATTGTATTTTCATCGTTAATATCATTTTATATTCCTTTATTTGTCATGATTTTTGTTTATATAAGAATTTATCGTGCTGCTATTAAACAATTACATGCATTTAAAACAGGTATTAAACTTACATCGCCAACCAAAAAGAAAAAAAAAAAAGGTGTAAAAAATGATGATACATCAATAGAACCACCGCCAGATATATGTTTACGTATACATCGTGGTAAATATCATGGTATACCATCATCAACACGTGATTCATTATCGACGATAATTCATACAGATCCAACACGTTCATCTAATTTAGATGAACATTTAAGTTTACCAACAAAAAATAAATCTCCAAATCAAATTAAAAAATCTATAAGTGGTGCATTTTTAAATGATTTTCAAAATTCATCATTATCACGTTTTTCGATGCCAACATTATTAGCACCATCAATAACAACAACAACATACAATGATAATCATCAATTAAAAATAAATAATTTCAATTCTAAAAAAGTTCAATCACAAGAAACAATATCAACATATGAAGCATCACGTTTAGCGAAACCAAATACAACATCGAGTACAGGTACTTCACTCGGTAAACGTTTAACAAAATTTTCTAAAGAACAAAAAGCAACAATAACATTAGCTTATGTTATGGGAATATTTGTTATATGTTGGTTACCATTTTTTGTCTATAATCCATTAACTGCATTGGCAAAATTATTTATACAACCAAAAACTCATTTAACTTCAATAGAAAAATTTTTAACTGGAAATGAACTTGTCTTTCAAATGTTTACTTGGTTAGGTTATGTCAATTCAAGGTATATAAATTGAGAAAAAGAAATAACAATGACCTATTAGATATTTTTTTCTTTTGCTTCTTCTTCGTCTACCAGTACTACTATTCCCTTCTTCTTCTGCTTCCTTTTTAGTGTCAATCCGATTATATATGCTTATTCATCACGTGAATTTCGTCGAGCATTTATTAAATATTTATGTCGATGTTTTCCAATACGTATACGAAATCTATTAATGTCTTATCATAATCTGCATTTATTACGTTATCGTCGTACACGAGAAAAATATATTTCAAAAGAAACGATTGAATCGTGTTCAGATCATAATCATAATATTAATCATATTAATCCGAATAAACAGCAGCAAATGGTCCCATCATTATCATCAACAACGACAATAACAAATATACAAAATAAATATCCATCACCACAATCACAACAACAGCAACATAGACATTCTAAAAATGTTCAAACGAATATTGAAACAAAACATTCACGTATTTGGTTTTTAACCAATTGTTGTAAATCAAATACAATCCAACAAGAACATAATAACAAACGTTCATCATCTGCTACATCCTCGAAAGCTTCATCACCGAATAATATACTTGTTGATTATTGTACTTATCACGATGTTGCCGTTTCTCGGGTGACATGTGTCTGATAAAAATTTCTTTTCTTGTTCTTTTCTTTTTTTTTTTTTCATTTAATGTATTGTAGAAAAATTTCGAAATGCCCGAGTGCCATTTGTTTCTTATACATACATATATATATAATACCAATTATTCTTTATCCTTTGTATGTAAAAGCTATATGATAATCTGTGAACAAAAAGACGAAAAAAAAGGTATGATATATATTTATATCTACTCTATGAATTGAAACGTTTTCTTTTTTTCTTTTCTTTTATTTCTTTCAAGACATGAGAACAAAAAAAAAAGGCCAAACGAAAAAAACAAATTAATTCTAACACAAAACAAAAAGAAATTTGTTAATGACGGATATTGAAGTATTAAGAAGTTAGATCTTTTTCTTCTCATTTTTTTCCATCATGTTGATTTCATTTGAATAATAGGAACAATAACTAAATCGTTTATGATTGACTGCATCATTTTTTGACTTATACACGCACGTATTAAGGAAATACGTCACATCAAATTTTGTTCGCTTCGTTGCGCACGTTTCTTAATATGTAAAAATAAAGTAAATAATCAATAAATAATATTAGAAAGAGAGAAAAAAAAAAGTTCTTTACTTGAAATATAAGTTCAAGTTCTGATTGTCGACATTGTGTTTGTATTAATGATTTTGTACATGGACGAGATTTTATTTGATTGATATCATTTGTTGATTTAGTTCGTTTTCCAAGTATAGCTTCTAATTCATTTGGAAGCATGATAATTGTTTCTAATTGTTGTAAATTTTTTGTTTCATAAGATTTTTTTAAATTTGTTTTTGTATAATTATCTAATTGTATATAAGATACTGTTTCATTAGTTATTGTTTCAGTATTTGTTATATTTGATGTTGATCCAATTAATCGACGACCCGATCGTCGACCATTTGAACCCGGTTCAATTTCAAGTTGTTGTTTTGCACGTGTAAATAATGGATTTTCACGTAACTAAATAAAATTTTTTAGTTTTTTGATTTTTGATTATTTCAAACAACTTACTTCACGTAAAATTCGTGTATCAGATAAATTACTTGATATTGTTGATGTACCAGTACTGCAAGGTATAGTTGAATTATTCGCTTCACGTGACAATGTCATAATTGATGTTCGTTGAGAATTCGATGTACGATTTATAGCTGGTATTATTGGACGAAATCCATCAGCAGGTAATCTGATATAGAAATGAGAAGAGAAAGAAACACAATTAACTTTATCAAATGCAATAAAATCTAGATAGCTATAATACTATTTAAAAATTAGCATGATTAATATGAAGGATTCATTTATAATTGAATGCGTGTTTATGAATGGCATTGACAATATGAAATACATCGTAGGAGTTAACTGAGAAATGATTAACACCCACTGTGAATATATAGAAAATGGATTAGGCTAGCTCATCTTATAATTATTTTATATTCTCTCTCAAGGAAATCACGTTAGTTTTTTTAAGTACAAACACGTGATAGGCAATGAATGTTTTGTTCTAATGTTAAAATATATGTTTTTATTATCAAGGAGTACATTAGATGACGTTAAAAACCTTGATGGATTCATTCACATTGAGTAGATGATTATGTATCATCTGAAGTTTGTATAAACTGAAGAATAATATATGATACTGATAAGATTGAAAGAAAAACAATAGTACAGTAAATCAATGATTATGAATCGTACTTTACGAATCATTTTTTTTTCAATTATATTCTATATTAATGACAAATATTCTTAGTGACACTCGGAAATAGATGATTTTATATTACATTTTTTCATTTTATGGCGTATCCAACCAAAAAAAAAATTTTTAATGAACAAAATAGGAAAACATAATCTATTTTCAGAATTTATTATAGAATCTTCGTATTCATTTGAATATCAAATAGGATAGATCATGATTCTATTTGGATGAGATGAAATGTGTCATATACTATTGAAAGATTGTTGCTATAGTTCGAATTCATTAAACATATCTGAAAAAAAGAATAAGCTATCATAGTCTTCAAAAACAGCAGTGACAATTTTGTTTTTGCAAGACTGTGAATCCATATTTTCAATAGAAAGTCTTCAATTCTATATTGACATTTAATTGAATATGATATTGATGAAGTTCTCAAAGAAAAAAAAAAGTCAAGAACTGTTCTACTTACGGTGGTGGTGGTGGTGGAGGTGGAGGTATTGAAGTTAAACATATTGAGTTGATCGCTGGTACATCTTTTTGTTCATCATGAACATCTGATTGGATATTATTATTCTCAGACATATAGTCCTGTAATGAATCGTAACTTTGATAATGATTATTATCAGAATTATTAAAATTGTTTGAACATAACTCCTCTTGTTGCTTACGGAAACGTGTCGATAAATGTTCATTTAGTTGATTGATGACACACACGTTCATTTGTTTGCTTGGCAAAGTCATGTCTACTAATTTTTCAGAAGTTGATGATGCTGATGAACGTAATCCAAATTGTGTATGCATTGGTTGTATTATAATAGAATGACTATGTATTGTACTTGTTGGTATACTTATTAATGAAGCTTGTTTTTTATAATCATTATAAAGTTTTGATGATGATGAACGATGTTCATCATCATGATCAATACCAATTGATGTACCTGGTGATGATGATGATAAACAATCTTGAATTTGTTCATCAGTTATTGATGGATTTTGACATAATATTGTTAAATTTGTTTCATGATTAGTTAATTGTGATATAGAAACATCGGGTGAATATGTATATGATAATGATTGAGAATTTTTACGTAATGTTAAATCTTTTGATATATGATAATAATGAGGTTTCGATAAATTATGAGAAGATATTTTTAATGATTCTAAAACAACAGAATATTATTTTAATTTTATTTAAAAAAATATTATTTTAATTTACCTAATTGTTTCAAGCCATCATCATCATCGTCTTGTTCTTCGTCTTCTTCATCTTTAAGAATAAGTTTATGATCAAATGATAATTTATCAGCAATAGTACGACAATGAAATGTTATTTTTTTTTGTTTATTATCTAGATTAGGTAATGGTGGCGGTAAAGGTGGTATAGATATTTGTTCTTCACTATTTATTGTTGATGTTTGTGGAATAATAAATGATGATAAAATTTCATGATCCGTATGTATTATTGATTTATCATCTAAATCATATTTAATAATTGATTTTGAATCATCATAATCAACCATAGGTTCTTCACTAATATCATTATCAGGTTTTAATGTTTGTATAATAATATCTTCATTTTGTTCATCATAATCAGGTGTTGGTACATGAATAGAAATATTTTCTTTATTGAAATCATTTTTAATATTTGATCTAAAATAATCATAAGAATTATCATCAGATTTATCATTCCAAAATGTACAAATATTAAATGAATGTGAACGTGTCCTAATAGAATTTGTTTTTGTTGATTGTTTATGATGACCAAAAATAAAACTTCGATCAAGTGAATGCATTAATTCACTACTCATTGCTGCTTGCATACGTTGTGCAAGAATATCATTATGTTTTATTGTATGATTATAATGATGATCTTTTATTTCATGAGATTTTTTTCTATGTGAATTAAAACAATGAATTGTATCGTTTAGAGATTTTAATGAATGACGACGAGAATTAGTAGTTGAAAAATGATTCGATTGAGATAATGGAAGAACATTTTGTTTTTCTCGATTTATTGAATCTTTTCGTAATGAAAAATTTTTTCTTGTAAATGAACCAATGATATTACCATAACGTTTTGGTAAACGTCGACGAATATGTTGATGATGATGATGAGGAGGAGGAGGAGGAGGATGTTGTTGATTATTAGTATTATTATGTGAAGATTTTTTAGCTAATGGTTCACAATCATCTTCGTCATTCCTGTAAATAATAGAAGTGACTTTTTTTATTTATTTAAAAGATGTGTAGAAAATCTTTGTTATTTCAATTAGACTATCTCCATTGATAGAAATACTCTGTTTTGTTGATTCCATTAACTAAATATGACCCTGATATTTCGTTTATATGTTATAACCTTAGTGAATACTCTCATGATAAATAATTTCCTAAGTACTTAAGCTATTTTACAAGTCTAATCAGAATCTACTATTTGCATATGTCATTTTTGACGTCGAGAGTACTTGCGATAATATGCAAGTAATCAAATACTTTTTTGAGAAAAGATGAACTTTAAGTAGAGCGAAAAGAGAGAGAGAGATGATTTTATTTAGGAAATATTGAAACGAAATTATCCTTTTGTTCACTGAATAGATTTTTTTCAATCTATATAAAATGTTTAAAAATGACCTTTAAAAGTCTTTTATTTAAAAAGAAAAGATATTAAAATTAATATAATATAAAACGGTAAGTCATTTATATTTTGCGTTCTCATATTTGCAGAAATTATCATAGTCAAACAAAAGAAATTCAAATATATGAAAGACAATATAAGTTGAGCAGAAAAAAAAATGTGTCGATCTATTTATTAAACATGTTTAGTAGTTAGTTGTTTTCTTACACATTGGTTATAACATACAATCGGACACGTTTTTTAATGAACATTAACTTTCACTCTACTTTTTATATAAATTGCTGATATAGTGAATTCTGAGAAAATCAATAAAGTACTAGTATCTCAAATTCAAGGCGCTGTTTTCTATTTTTCAATAACTTGTAAACACGAAACGAATTCGTCTAGATAATGCTTAGAAGCATAAATTTATCTAAGAATTATTAGTCTAGAAACGATCATTCGAATAATATATCTAAAGAATTATTACAAATCAATAACCAAACCTCTTCAACAATTCTTCTTATAAAGTAATACTAGATATTCCGACAATAGATCTGATATAAAACAGATCATCGTTATGACTAGATCAAACGACATATTGTCTCATGAATGATATGTATACAATGAGCACGTTCTTTTTTTTTTATTATGAAATTCTTCATCGAAACAATGATACCTTATAACAACTGTTATCTAATACTATTGCTCATCGATCTTTGATAGTTAAAATAATCCATTAACTAAACACGATACATAAACGTTTTATAAACGATAATTATATTAAATAACGAAAATGTAAATTATTCATAATAAAAAAAAAACAATATAATTAGTTCTTTTTAATTCATCTTATTTATTTCGTTTTTCTAATAGATGATTTTAAGAGAAAACAAAAAGAAGAAGAAGCAGTAAATCAATATAATTCTCACCTGGTTGCAAAAATATCTGATCTTTCTCTACGTAAACAAAAATCATGACTTATTTTATTTTTTTGTTGTTGAAAACATGAATTCAATGAATCAATACTTATACAACGTGAAATAAACCACATATTAATAATAATAATAAAAGAATATTTGTTTTGTTTGTTGTTTAATTGATTCAATTCAATTTTTTTAAATATGACAATTACGATAAATAATGTTGAATCATACAGAATAAACATGTTCAAAGACGAGACATATAATAATAGTAACACGTCTGTCTCACCTTTTCTTTTTTTTTCTTCTTGACCTTGACACACTAGTAATAATCGTCTATTCACATACAGAAAAAAAAATAATAATAAAGAAGATGTAAAATAGTTGTGCGATAATTAAGCAGCAATCGAATGACTGTTTGTACTTATTTTTTTTTTTGTTGAACGTGCTTAAAAAAACAATTGTTTGTTTGATTGTATGAATATAATCTCTAATCCTTCTTTTCGATCTATAATCTTACTTTTCGATCTCTATCTTTTTCTTTTCGAATATAATGTCATTTGTTCTTCTCGTAAGTAATTACATGAACGGTAAACATATTAGTTTACTCGAAATGTTCAAATACAAACATTCTAGGAATGTAACGAAAAAAAAAAAACATACCATCGATAAGACATTAATGTCGGAACAAATGGCGGGAGTGTTATAGGTAATCGTGCTTAATAAAAAAAAGAAAAGTTTAGAAAAAAAAAGAGAATTTAAATAAATACTTACGAAACTGCATCGTATATTGATAAGAATAAGTTATATCGATTGATGAAGGTTTTTTACGTCGAAATAAACATAAAAAACGACGATTGAGTCTTGAATTTTTCGATTTTAAATCAATCATTGGCATTAGAAATTAAATTGAAACCTGCAAACAAACATCAACGAATATTACAAATTGTTTTTCTTACAGTGTTATGAATGTAAGACTTCTAATGTTCGGTAGAGATCCATTGGGTTCGAAAATTTTCAATTCGGTAAGCTTTAATTATCTGAGAAATGTGTAGGATATGCTAATTATTGAATAACAAAAGCTGGAAAAAAGTATCTTGTATCTTTAGAACAATTGTTCAATTCTGATTAGAACAGTTCATTGAAATATGAAAGTACTATTTGACTAGGTCCGAATCCGACGAATTCGACTCTTCGGTGTCAAAAGAATATTAATCAATCGCATCTTTACTATCTATTCTCTGTTTGAGTGACCAGAAAAAAATAAGAATCATTATTTCTATGTAATTATTTCAGATAAAAAAAAAACCATTGTTTCAACAGTAAAAGTAATTCCTGTATTTTCTATTATATACAACTTCAAAATAATGTTCTATTTCCTGCAAAAATGCCCTCATTAAGTTCTTCTATTGTAGTACTATTCAAAAGAAAAAGTGATTCTCTCGGAAATTTGTTACCACTTGAAGTTTATTGTTCATTTTTTTTTGTATAAATTGTTTTAAGTATTTTTATGTAACCATTCAAACAAAATAAAAAAAAAAAAAAAATTCTCAGACATCACTTAGTGTTTTATATCAAATATATATCATTGTCTAGAATTTGATGAAAACAACATTTGATACGAAGTCTTCTCGTTAATTGCTAATAGTTATGATTATTGTTTAAGTTATTGAAGTATGTTCATCTATGAAAAACGAACATTTTAATATTAAATGTTCTACTCATCATGCTTAACAGATTTAATATATAAGCTATGAAAATTATAGAATCAATCTCTAATTTGAATTTCTTTCGAATTCACTAACAATGTATAAACTTCCTGTGTCATTTTACTATTTAGACGAAGTTCATTTATCACATAGTTATCAAAAAAGGTTTAAAAAAAAATAGTTAATGTTTTTGTATGTTAAAAAATATAGAATCACTTGAAGTTTTTTGTTTTAGAGGCTGTCATTGCCTATTGCGATTCTTAATCGTGTAAAGCTAACGTTTACATAGTTACAAGCAATCGATACTTAATTTTAGCTGGTTTAGTTTGATTTTTGATTTATTATTTTATTTGTTATTCATTGTATCCATAATTATCGGTCGTGTCAAAATAATCATTCCTCAGAAGAAAATTCAAATCAAAACATTATTAGAAATAGATTTTTTGTGATCGACAAGTTACACAGCTGTCAAATATATCGCAAAACTGTGTTTTTGGTATCTCAAACAGGTAAAAAATAGAATTTCGTCTTATCAAATTCAATCGGACAGAGTAGGAGAAAAGTAACGATGTCAACTGATGATCATCAATGATTACACATTATGAACAAAGATTCAACAAAATCTCGTAAAATATTAATCGCTGAATGAACTCTACAAGTAGTAAAAAATTATATCCTTCTAAAATGTACATCATGATTGAATAAATATAAATCAGATAAACAAAAACTTTTGAGAAGATCTACTCAACCTAAACAATGTCTAACGTTTGCTAAAGATAATCAACATTATTTAAATGAATGAAACACTTATCTGGAGTAACGAAGTATATTTTGAAGTATCAAACAGTAAAAATGACCTTTTAGTTCGTTCAAAATCAGAAAGTAATGAATCATTAAATTCTATTCCACGTGTACAAGTTGGTGGTAATGTTCCCGTGTAGGAATGCATGTCAAAAGGTATTTATGTTCTACTTATGATCTATAATGGAAGATTGAATAGTCCTGCACATATTAAAATAATCAAAGATACATTAGTTATGTTTATTGAGAATAAATTCGATATAGGAAACAATAATTAGGTTCATAAGGAAGACAATGCATCACTAACTTACATACAAATATTTAATGAAATAGTTGAACGATAATAAGCTTAATATTTTACAAAGGTCAGACAGTTTATTTGATCTAAATTCAATCAAGAACTTTTAGAATCATTTTAACAAAGAACTAAAAAAATAAAAACCAACAAATGTCAGACAGTTACGAATGATGATTGAAGATTTATCACGTGGTGTAACAGCGAAATGGCATCAGTAATTAGTAGATTCAATACCCACGACATATAAAACAAAGATCTCAACGGATTGGAACTTGTTTTGCCTAAGTCATTGACCGACTATTGAATAAAATATAAAATTTTCAAAAAATATTGCATATTTTTACTAATTTTTTTTTTCTCGAAAATCCCATGTAATCTTTCTATTGGCTAAAACATTTCTACAATGAACAGAAAATCTATAAACCAAAATAAAGAAAAAGATAAAACTGTCGTCGTAATAAAAACTTTCTTTATACTCAACAGAATGATCTTATATAGCTCTTCTCCGTTCATCAACAATTACAATAGCATCATTCATTTTTGTTAACCCTTTGGCTTCAAACTACGGGTGCTGATTTATCATCACATAACAAACAGTACATATCTGAACGGAACAAAGTTATTTTGAAATAAGAACTATCGCCATATGAAATTATTCTAAATGAAAAAACAAACACATTTTTATGTTTGAAATCTTTAGATTTTCCAACTAAAACATCAGAAAACGCTAATGAACTCGAGAGAATTGAAGTTTTTGCAAGTTGTCACATATATTACTGAATATTTATTTATACATCAACTACCAATGGTCAAAATGTGCTTGCTAATTCATTAGTTAAAAACTTATTCAATGCAATCACATGAATGGCGCATGGGTAGACTAACTTTCTTCGGTCCAATCCAGTCCATTGAAACCTCTAGTAGAAAAGAGTATTTTTCAATTTGTGGTAGAACATTCAGTAGCATGGCAAAAGAATAGATCAAGAAAATTATTAAAAACTTCGAGTGCTTTTATAGTTTTTTTTGTGATAACTGTGTGATATATGAACTTTTCTCAATAAGTATTGAAATATCACATCTGAATCTACATATTGACGGTGAATTTGAAACGATAAAGTGATATTGAACAAGAATAGAATTCGAAAGAAATCAAAAACGGCAGATAACTCCATAATGTTTCATAGAATTGGGATTAATAGCACTATTGGAGTTTCTATTCAATATTACGTCTTTCACTTTCTTCTCAATAAATCATTTAGACGTCTATCTTATGTCTTAAAATTTTAAAAACCAAATTTCTTACAAAAAGTTCCCAAACATATTAAAACTTACGAAATAAATTCAAATATTAATATCAAATAAATGATAGAACTAAATCGAACTTGTTAACAAACTTGAACTACTACTACTATTCAATAAAATCTCTCAGCTGTCACACTAGTAGAATGGTACATATTATTTTACATATTCTATATCTTTTCTTTTATCTTACGTAATATTTTAAGAAAAAATAATGCTTGTATCACTTCTTCTCTTTATTCAATGCCACAAATTGTTACGCACATATTCTCATATTCAGTTCTTTAACAAAACAGAAAAAGAAATATAAGAACTGCCATTAACAATTATATTATAAGACATTATGCGTGATATAATTTATCTCTTTATTGTTATAAACAGAAAAAAAAACAAGGAAAAAAGAAAGAAAGATCTTCACCAATCTGACTTAATGTCATAAAAAAAATAACTCCATCGTTGTTGAAAACAATCACTACTGGCTATTATTTTTGTTTGATTTGATAAATCATTACACAAAGATGAATTTATATTTGTTGTACACATATTTGATATAGACCAGAATTTTTTTAATATTGTTAAATATCGTATATGTAATGTTTGATCTTCATCCGATAATAAAACAACAAAATTTAATGAAGCTAAAAAATTCTCGTGATTTTCTTTAATAATTGACATTTGCCATATACCAATCATCTCTGGTGAAGATACCACCGGAAAAACTACATCAATAATAAGAGGTTCTATGGATGGAAGAAGTTTTACTCGTTGAAGAACAGCACCTATTCAAAAATATCAAATAAATAAGAGAACATCCATGAAGAAACCTAGACTAGTCAAAATTTTAAGTTTTGACTTTTTATAAGCGTTCGAGACGTCACCATCTCAAACTACCAAACCTAAATTTTTAACTTATTTGCATAACATTATGATACAGTCAGTTAATATCGACTTGACTAGTATTTCTTTTTATTCAAACATGAGTGAGGAAGATCACAATTTACGAATCTATAATGGTCCGTGTTTGACAGTATATCTGTTATCATATTTTCATGTAACTTTTTATTTTCTACAAAATGTTTAAAAAATATTGAGAAAAAAGTTTACTTTAAGGACGAAATGAAGTTCACATCCCTCTAGTACATGGTGATTTTACAAAAGAAAAAAAAATCATTTTTTGTGGTTTTCATTACCAAAAACTACATTGAGTCAAAGAAATTATAGAGGTTTTTTCCTGCGGAAAAATTAATCCTGGGGAACTACAAAGCAAAATTTGAAATCAAATACAGTCGTGGAGGACTAGAGGTGATTTTTTTTCGAGGAAAAAATTTTCTCTAAAATATGTTTAACTTAATGAAATTTTTGATGATGATTAAGAATGTTACATGAGTTTTACTTTATAATCGTGTTATAGCAATTGAAACCACGAAAAAGAAATTTTTTTCTTGTGAAAAATCACTATGTGGGAGAAAGATGTGAACTCCATTTCGTTTCGAAAGTAAAGTATTAATGACAGAAGACATACTACCAAACATCGATCATTATTGACTCGTAAATTATGATCTTTCTCACTCATGATGAACTAGAAAACCCCTAGTAAATATATCCTATGTAAGAATTGAAATAGCTCATTTTTTTAAGCTATTTATGCTGTATCTTTTAGCATATTGTACGAAAAATTCGTTGATTTATTAAAGTCTAATCCTAATAAACATTTATGGGATGATTTTTGACTTCTTTCTTGATAGTAAACTGGTAGTGCTCAAAAGTCGGTACTGGCTAACCTTACCATAGTATATCTAAATTAGTTAAAAATTTGGGTTTGATAGTTTTAGATGACGGTCTTTCGAACGCACATTTAAAAAAACGAAAAACTTCAAATTCTGACGAGCGCCTCGTATATTGAGATGATCTTCGATATGGTCATGGGTGCTCTCCGCAATAACACAAAACTTTTTATTGATTAGATAATCATACCACTAGGACTATTAATAACTAAAGATGTATCATTATCTGTCATAGATTCCCATTCAATAAGAACTTTGACTAATTTTGGTTCCATGAATGTTCTACTACGATCAATAAAAACAATTTCTTTACTATCTAATCCTTGGCCAATCTAAAAATAAAAGTAAAGTTTGTTGAATATACTAATAAATTATTTTTGAAAAGATTTACTTCAAATCTTTTAACTTGTTGTGAATTAATAGTAGTAAATGAATTTAATCGAATCAATATTTCAATTTGTTCTCCATCGTTATATTTATATTGTAATGAATAACCTTGATATAAACTTGATTGAAATATTGAATGAATTTGTTCTAATTGAATAGTATCATTACGGAAACAATTACGTCGATGTTCTTGATAATCAATAAGTATTGTACGTGCATATGAATCAATTAATTTTAATAGTTTATTTAAATTATTTTCGTCATCATTTATATGATAAATATTTTGTAAATAAAATGCAGCTAAAAGAGTTTATTATATTGCTTTTATTTCGATTAAAATTTATATATTTTACTATTAGATAAATCTCGTCTTGAGATTTTTTCATCTAGCCAATCAAGAATTGTTTCATCAATAGTTGGATCAAATTTGCGAGCGAAAAACAATGGCTTGTCAATTGTATCCTAGAAAGAGGAAAGAAAATACTAATATAGGAAAAGCAGTTTACTGCACTAACAGAGTTTTTTCGAATGGGCATCAAGGGAGTGATTTTTTCACCGGAGTACTAGCGCTTTATTGTGTTTTTTTGCTGATTGTTTTCCAAAATTCAATTGTAACAATTTTGGGACAGAGTTCTGTACATTGGTTAATAGTCATAGAAGTTTCGTTAGTTTTTAGTGAAGACCACAAAAGTTGTTATGCATATTATGAAAGCAAATGAAATCTCATCGATAATCAAAATAGGAAAATAGCTTGAATAATTGGTTAAAATCAATGAAGTTGAAAAAATAAAGGTGCAAAGATGAGCACAGAACAACTCCTTCTGTTTTGTTCTTTCCGGCGCGATAGGACATCATGCAAGAAAGAGACAAAGTTCTTATTATTCTCTTTTTTATTCTCGAAAGCAGATATCGAATCGTTGGTTATTTTCTATCCTATTTCACTTTGCTTCTAAATATTATGAGTATTTTCTAAAATCATAATTCATTCAAAAGCAATGCAAATAAGATCTTATCGAACATTCCAAAAAATGACTTTTTTACTACTGTAGAAGTAGCGAGTATTAAATAAATAGATCGAACTATGCTAAATGAAAACCAACATTTTAAATCTTTTAAATAAATCCATAAATTGATGGTTGATAGTTGTTAACTTCTACAATTCGATATTAAGCCCCCCCCCCCCTCATAAAATGTCAGTTTTCGTTGGAATGGCCAAAGCTGAGATAAATACATGGGAAGATAGCCCATCATCTGCTCTTTCATAAACGATAATTTGTTTTTCTCTTTACTTCATTTTTCCCAAAAAATGTTCAAGATTTTCGTCAACCCCTATTCGAAAAACCAGCTGTTTTTTGAAAAATCAAAAAATGTTTTTCGTTTTTTCTCAGTTTCCACTTTCTCAAAAGCGCATCCCAAATTTCTCGTTCCTGGTTCGTTTAATGCATTAATATTTTTTTTTTGCTTAAAAGACCGTCTCAAGGCGCAGGACATGATGGGGCCATTGTTTTAAATTAAGCCTTTGTTTAGTCAATATACAGACAGTTATATGATTTGGTTACCATTTTTTGACACTTTTTTCAGTAATTGAACTTGTGATCTCTGTTTTGCGCTTAAAAAGGGACTATTTCAAAAAACGGCCCCATCATGCCCTGCATCTTGAGATGCTCTTTTCAACAAAAAAAAAATATTAATATATTGAACGAACCAGGACCGAAAATTTTGGGATGCCAAATGAGGGGGGGGGGGGGGCTTAAAAAAGANTAGATCAAATCTAAATAGTGATTTCGATAGCCCTTGAAGTTCTCTATCGAAAACAGTATAGATCAAAATCCTCGAAAAAACTTTCCTTAGAAAGTTTTACAAAAAACCGAAGTGCTCCAAAATCAAGTACCAGAGGCACTTGAGAAAAATATTTCAAAATATACTCATCTGAAAGAGCAAAAAATTCTGAGCAAAATGAGGGGTCGCTCAGTTCTCTACGATGTTTCCTTATAAAATTATAAGCATCAGAAAAGTGAAAAAAGTGTGTTTTTAAGCTATTTTTAGCGATTTTTTGATGAATTTTAAAGTTTTTTCACTTTTCTGATGCTTATAACTTTATAAGGAAACATCGTAGAGAACTTCAAAGGCTATCGAAATCACTATTTAGATTTGATCTAGCTATTCGTCTTCATTGAAAAATCTCAACGACACAAGGGGGTCTATAATTTTAATAAGCCCTGTAGTTGATATATTACAACGAAACGTTTTGGATATATAGTCTGTATTAATTTGTGTGTGGAGAGTTCTGATTTCTATGCTTAGACTTCTTGTAGAGTGTATTTCACAAGAAGATAGAATGTCACAAAAGCCTATATAATTTGGATTTGTCAATCATAATATGCAAATGATTATATACTTCATATTAGACAAGAGAAAAAACATGTCCTGTTTTTAAACATTATTTTATATTACAAATCGATAATAAGTGCACACATGTCAATAGTACCTGTCAAAAAAGAGATGAGGAACTTAAGTGAAACTAAACAGTTATAAAAGAAATTCGATCTATAGAACGATTTTGAGTAGTTTATAGTCGTAAAACATCATTAACAAGTACGAAAAAAAAAAACGATTTCAGACATGTCTGCGTTGTTCTATTTTTAGAAACATTTTACTATGTTGTCATTTTGATTTTGACCGTTTTACATGACTTCATAGAATATAAAAAGTACAATTTATAATTTTTTTTTTCTAATTTGAATATTGACTTAAACTTTACCAGCAAAAGAAACACTATGCTTTAAACAATAGTCAATACACATAATATCACTATCAAATATTTGTGACTTGTTTATATGATGTGTTGAATTTTCATCACTTGACGCACAACCAATAACATCACCGAAATTACCTTCTATAGTACAAAAGCAAAAAAGTGAAATTAAAATAAAAAATAAGAAGATATAGTTTTTTTTTTTTTTTGTTACGTTGAATAGGACAAAGACGTGGTAATGATTTAGGAAAAAAAATTGGATTTGTATCAATTTTACACGAAATATCTTTTAATAGATTTTTACAATAATCATTCGATGCTAAATTAATAGCACGTATGGTTTCATTTTTTAATTCACATTGTACATTGAGAAGAGTAGACTAAACAAAGAAAAAAATCAAATTAAATTTCTATATTAATAAAAGATATTTATATTATACATTCGAAGAAAATGTTGGATTTGTAAAATGAGTTGTTAATGTATAATGTTCAACAAATCCATATAGAAGACCAGTTGTTATCATAAATGTAACTAATGGAAATATAATTGATCGTTGATAATGTAATGGTCGCTGGCAAGGACATGCAATCCACCTGAACATGGAGCATCTAAAAACCAATAAATCAAAAAAAAGAAAAAAAGAACGTGGAGTTATTATTTCTCTTTTTTTGCTTCTATTTCTTTTGAAATATATACTTTTTTTCTTTTACGAAAAATAAAATAATCTGATCAACATCGATATACAATTTACCCATAAGGTATACATCGAAAAGAAGAATTGAAGTATACAATCATCAATCTATATTCGATTAAAAAATTATGACGATGAATGAATATTTGTGTTAGTTTGCAGTAGTCAAGAGAATCAGTAAGAAAGAAAAAAGGTACAAGGATGAAGCAACACGAAAAAAAAGAAAAAAAAAAGTAAGTCAATCAGTCGTTCTATTAAATCTACATTGTGTACTTCATCTATTTTCTTTCTTTAAAAAAAAAAAGAAATAATATAAATTTATAAGTCTTTCAATTAATAATAATTATCTGATATTTTAATAAGCTTTCAAATTTTCATAATTTAATTACTACAAAACGTATTCTACTTACATATAGACTTGTATGCTTTTGTTATGCTTTGACAACATCGTATTTACTATTCTATTAAATTTTACATTATAAAAATTTTATTCCATTCATTATAACTCATAATATATGTTAAAAATAATTTTCATTATATCTAATAATAGTAAATTAAAGTCTATTCTTTATAAAAAAATAAATAAAAACTAATTAAATGATAATATTAATATACATATAAATTCAAGTAGTCAGATTCTATGTCATCCTATTATTAAGTAGATTTTGAAGAGAGTCTATTATATAGAAAAAAAAAAAAAAGAAATAAGACAAAAAATAAAAAGTACCTTATTGATGAAAGATTGTCATGTTCGATTAAAGAAAACGTTTATACAAATCTAAAATGTAAAGTAAATAGTTTCAAACTATCAAAGTATTCTTGATTCCTTAGAAATTTTCTTGCCTCAATATTTCGATGTAGAGGCCTAAATACAGAATAAAAAAAAAAAGGTAATTTACAAAGAATCCTTTGTAAAAAATTTTCGAACATTCAATTGTATAAACCATAGAAAAAAAGTTAGATAAAATTACAAATATTTCGATTATAAAATATTTTATTGTAAAAATTGAATTCAATTATTCTCTTTAGAATTTATCTTATTGTTTGTTTTTGTATTCAAGAATCATAAAACACGATATACTTGAGTAGAACTAATAATTAGACTTATATTCAAGATTTTTTGTTTTTCGGTGAAATTAATTCTTTGTTGAATATATTGAACATTACTAACATTCAGATATAGACGGCGGAACATTACGGATGATCAAAAAAATAATTAGGCAAAACATTCATTGCCTTTTCAGCCCCCTACAGAATTTTGTACTCTTTCCGGATAGAAGTTCATAGATTTTATGAGACTGTTCGTTGAGAAGTTATGAGTCGAACTTTTTTGAGGCTCGTAAATTAAGTTTAAACGAACTTCAGAGCATCAAAAAATACCCAAAACAGATGCGAAGAAGAAACAAATATTTTCCTATGAAATGGTATACTAGTACTTACTAAACTGTAAGTCATTTGTCAACAGTGAGTATTTCAGGTGAAGAACATCGTATCAATTTTCTTGATTTCTATGTAAAATAGACGTGTATGATTCTATGCTAATAAAAATCGGTAATATAACGTACAACTTATAATTTACAAATCGGAAGTATTCGAAAAAATTTTGAACCTCTCCTTCCGAAACAATACAAAATTTTGATTCTAATCTAATATTTTCAAATTTTTGTATACTCTTTTTTTAAAGCTGAAAATTGAATGAATATTTTGTCTAATTACTTTTTGATCACCTGTTATTTCAAACTAACATTTTGCGTTGTATAAATTTAGAAAAAATTCAGAATTTATGTCAAAATATGTATGTGCACTTACAAAAACATACCAATAATTGTTTTTATTTTATTTCAACTCTCAAAAGAAAATTTGTCGATCTGTTTTATCGAAAAAACAGAATAATGGTGAAGCAGCAGCCTTCGCAAAAAAATCACATGGTAGGTTCGTTTACTTTGGTAAAAATATTTCTTCAATGTATAAGATTAGCTACTGAAAGTGAAAATAGCTTTCGGCAAATTTTACTTTATAGAACTCAATTTTCTCGTGCAATACTTGCCGTACTATTTTAAGTTGTCGACAATGTAGGGTGCAACATTTAGTTACACAATAATCAGTGTTTTCTCAAGGACGCTTTTGAAGTCTACTTCACAATGAAAATGTTGCTATTTGTCGCGGAAGGAGTTGAAAATTTTGATAGGAGCACACAAAATTTCGATGCATTTCATGAATCTATCACTCTAATAGAATGACAAACAAATGTTGAAGCCAACCGAGGTCTCGTGGTTACGCCACATATAAATTCAGCTTTGTGAATTAACTTTCTAGACTATTGAATATGACAAATTAATCCAACATCAAACTAAGTTAAGCTCATGATCATGGATAAAACTATTTTCAAACATTATTTTACATATTTATCATTACTTTTAACGTATGAAAGTAATATTGATAAGGTTTTCAGTCAGATTAATGCAGAAAAATATAATTTAGTTCTCATAATTAATTTATTAGAAAAAATTCTAATCGTGTTTACAAGTTAAGAAAATTCAATTACGAGAATAGTTTTTCAAAATATAAAAATCTATTTCATCATTCTATAAAATAGTTTTCTAGAAAAGTTGATCTTAATTTTTTTTTTGGAGTATGATCCTATTACCGATAGTCTTATTTTGTTTGAATAGTAAACTTATTGCGTTTATAAAAGACTAATCTCTTATCTGGTAATTATTATTTTATCTGATTCACTTGAATTTATATGATAGTTTCAATAGAGCAATAATCGATTGAATCAGAAGAAAATTTTTGATGAACAAACTAACATTATGGATAAAAAAAATCAAATAATCATAGTTCTCTGATTACAGATTTCTATTCATAACTTCCAAAACTCTCTGTCATTTTTGTTTTACATGAATTTTCTTATTTCATTTTCCGATATATCTATCTATTTGTTTGAAGTATTAATAATTTATCAATGATGCAGCATCAACTGAAGTTCAGCTACTGTTCAACTAAATTCATAAATGATACACTAACAGGTTCTTATAACAAGAGTATAACACTTGAAAGAGTTAATTTTTACTTGGCTAGAATATTTAATACACTATTGAAAATAATTTCGAATAAATTTAATGATTTCGATACTTTTCGAAATACTTTCACTTATTCTCGCTACCGGCATGAAACAGTCATTTCCTTTATGTTCAATTTGACGTTTTTCATGTAATTTTATAGATAATTTCTATTGCAATCTAATTGTTTTTTATGCATTTTATTCAATGGCATATATTTTGAATATGATTTCCGAAAAGTCTTATCATCAATTATCGACATGCCTTTACATATTATTTTCATTTGACTTTCTATTCCAATTATAATTTTTTTTTTTCTGCTACTTCAAGATCAAAAAACGAACACGTATGCGCAAAAGTAAACATAAACAATCTTACATACTAAATAAATTTTCTTGAAAAAACTTATTTTGATAAACAGTTTTATTCAAAAGATTTGACATGTTTGAACTGTTATATTGTGAATTTAATAATAAATAAATTGAGTCTCATACTGAGCTAATACATAAAAGATCCTCTCAGTAAAAGTCGAGAAATCAAGATAGATATAATCATCGACTCAATTCATTTTAATGGACAATGAACAGTATCGAACTAGTAACCAATCAATTCATAAAACTTTTCTTTTACCATTAGACTATTTTCATATTCATTACCGATGTATGAATTTTGTATCGTTTTTATGATCGATTTGCTATCGTTTAGTTGGTTCTAATAGAAACAAAAATTTCGAATATTTCATTTCATTTATTTTTTTTTTATATTTCTACCATGTTGATTTTTCTTCTATTATTGTTATCGAATTCTATTGATGTATCAACTGTTGACAAGAAGTATATTAAAATAGATAATGAAGTAAAATTTATATTTCATATTATAAAAGTAAATAAAAATATAGCTGTAGGTATTTTAAAGTTATTTGCTAATATTGAATTAGTTAATGATAAGGAAAAAGAATATTGAGAAAATAAATATTTTCTATATTTGATAATAATAATATTTGTTAATTGAACATTAAATAAATAATTGAAATTTTGATTTTCTAATGCTAAATAAATATATATATATATTATATCTTGTATTTGAGTTTTGGTGTTCGATTTTATGAATTTCCAGCAGAAAAAATCTATTTCCGATCAGAAATCAGTTGGAACTTGAAAGCAGGAATTCAATAATCGGATTAGATGATGATCGGAACTAAAAAAATTCGGTCACTGAATTCCAACAATTTTCAAGCTGCAATCGATCGTATTTATTCAAATTGAATTGATTCATATTTGCATAATTTCCTGAATATAACTTTTGGTAAATATGTTGCATTTATTAACTTGAACGAGTTGTTTTTCTTCATTAGTAAGTCATTTTCATCGAAGAAAATATGATTCAATCTGATCAAGATAATTTTCAATCAGAACACAATATTATACGATTGACATATACAAAGATATTGATAAATGAATTCATATAAAACAAGATAAATATCTTTTGATAGTGTTTTTTATGAAAATGTGTACTATGGTTAACTATTATTATCAATTTCGATTTTCGTCAAAGAACAATAAGTAATATTGAAAATATAATTCATCATTTTATGATTTGTTTCGATATTGTTGAGAATTGACTATTCGAAATTTGGTTAATGGGAATATCTGAAAAGAGCTCGTACCATTGAGAGTAGCGACAATCAGATAAGATTTTACTGATCTAACGATTTTTTTTGTTTTGAAACAAATTGATTTTTAGAAATATTTACTTTTATTTCAAAAAAGAATTTATTTAATTTCTCTTTAAAGATGTCATTATTTCTGGAGTAAAGGTACCAATCAAAATTCAATACTTAATGCCCTA